TACTGAAATCAAACATTTCTTCAAAGGTATGAACTAAGTTGCAGCAGGATAAGTTATTCTAAAAAGCCGAAATTACAGATTACAAGTTCTGTTGTAACTTTCAAGTCAACATTTTTCCTGCAGATCCTTGTACAGTAAATTAAGTGTCTTTAGGAATACTTGAGCTGAAGATTTCATTGCTTCAAAAGCAAAGCCACACTGGCTTATTTCAGTGCAGATCTCCAGCAGCTGGAATAAAAACTGATGATGCACTCCTTTAATGATACCTAAATATTTATGAATATAAATTTCAAATGTCAATTGCAATATTAAAATACATTAAATACAAAAAAAAAGTATTAAGAATATAAACATACTAATATGGTATACATATAATGTTGTCTAGATATTTGAGTACATAGAAGCAAACGTATGTTTATATCCAGATGTGAAGTTTTCAGTGGGGTATTACAGCAAGCTGCCCCGTGTTGACCTCAGAACTAGTAATTTACCCTAACACTAAAAGCTCTGATCCTCTAAGCCAAATGCAAATTGCTCTGCTCTCTTCCATCACACCCTTCTTTCCTGCATTAGCGCCTTTAAGCCATCTACTCTAACCTCACCTTGCCAAAATGTTGGTAAGAACATTAAACACAATTATTTTTACTTACTTGAAGGTGCAGATTCACTTTCACTATTATGCCTAGAACTAGTGGACTCAGAGTTCAAGCTAAGAGTGCTGGGTATAGAAGAAAGTTCATTGCAGAGCTGCTCCATGTCATCAGGGACCACTGGCCAAGGCTGTCTACGACTGTGCCTCACTGCATCCCAGTTGTGATGTTTTAAAATGTCACATCCTTGTTTGGTTTTGGCAATTAAACCAAGCACGTAGACACAGGTGCTGTATTCAGTGTACATAGAGAAAAAGAGAGCAGCAATATAGCATCCATTTTAACTAAAATTATTTGTGCTAAAAGGAATAGTTTCAAAACAATTCAGTAGAAACTTCACAAAGTTGCCAAGCAGCTTTTTGTATGTAGCTGACCTTATTTTTTTTATTGGAAATCAATGGAAGCTTAAATAATACACTAAAATATCTGCAAACATATTGTTTAAAAATAAACCCTAAGTATTACAAAACCCAGATATCTATAATTGAAATATGCATTATTTTAAAGGACAAACAGAAAAGTGGGAGCAGTATTAGGGAAAAGAATATCTACTTATGCTTTCCCTAAAAGATTTGAAAATAATAGTGAATAACAATGGCAGAATAATAAATTGTTTGCAAGAGAGATACAGGTAGTATATACTTAGATTGCTTGAGAGATAAAAAGGAAAGCTGTATTTTTTTTTATAGCTTCCTTGCCCTACTGGCTGTATTTTTAACCTTCTTACACAATTCTGAAATTCTCTCCAAGTTTGTTTTTGATGACCTTCAGTAACTAATAAACCAATGACTTCAAAATAAGTGGTAACATTATATTCACATATCTTAAAGAAAGTCTATTTGAAAACCTACTGGAATACTTTCTGTAAGTTATGTTTAAAATCAAATACACTTACCCTCTAACGGAGAGAACCTCGCAATGCTGGGCAAGTGCCATTATATCAGGGATCACATTCTCCTCTTGAAGCAAGTTAAGACCCCAATTTGATGATCCAATGTTGCCCTGAAACAAAATAGTTTGTCAAATATGTTTACATTTGGTGTGACCTGCATCACTGCTGAACAAAAAGCCTTTCACTTTCACACATTCAAGCCACATCCTCTCAAAGCTATTAGAAATTTGAAATCTATCCTTTTACTATTTCCTAGTTGCCTATATCCAATAGAGGACTCAGGACACTATGTATAATACCTAGAACTGGTTACTGTTTACTACTACGTAGCCCTCAGCTTATCAGTCACACTGCAGCCTGCAGTAAGTCTCTTCTTGCAAAGGCATTTCATTACATGCTTACAATGACTTCCACTAACAATCAGCTTGACCAAATGCTTTAAAATAAACTGTGGAAGACAGGAAAGAGGACAGACAAACATTTGACGTGTCAAAACAACTTTACAAGTACAGCTTTGACTGGTACAGACACTAGGTTTCCCCTGTTACACAACTACCACAGTTGTCATGATATTCACATGCACCAACAAGGCAGCGAACTTTCTACCAGAAACACAGAATTTAGAAGCACCACAGTGACTATATTAAATATATATATAAAAAAAGAGGGAACAAAACTGGTACAAATTAATAGAATTTCATGTGAAAGTCCACCTAGGATACAGAGACAACTTGGAAAACCATATCCTCTTATGACAAAAATCCCTAAATAACTGTTTTAAGAGAATTTGCTTATTTATTTCAGTATCAAAAAGTCACAACAGAACCAAAACAGCTGCAAAGTTTGTAAATCTGACCATTACTCACCAAAGCCCAAAGAGCTGCTTTGAGCTGCTTAATTCCTTCCCACTTATCTAGCATTGGGAAACGAACGGTGTAACTGAGATCTGGAACAATACTCTAAAGGAGAAAAACAAAAAAAGCACTTATTTCATAATGAAAAGCAGACTTCAATGAAACATGTTCATGTGCAGTTTTACTAAATGTAAAGCACTACTTTAAAGCATGAACCCTACAATAAACAGTGAGAGTTCTAGCATAATGAGGATAAATCATCAGCAATTGAAATGACGTTGAACAACTTAACTACTGACTACATCAGGTCTAATTCAGAATTTAAAAAGAAAAAAAAAAGGAAAAAAAAAGATTCAGATTAACTCAATACAATAAGAAAAGTGCTCTCTTGAAATTCTCCATTATATACAATTCAATATATAGTTTTGTAAATTTAGTTTTAAAGTCAATTTATTTATAAAAACTAAGAAAAGCAGTTCTTTTTTTAAGAATAGATTTTTTTTGTGTAACATTTCTTTACATTTTTTTTATACATTTATAAAGGATAGCCACATCTTGACAATATTCATTACAGAATTCACACATTTGTATATAGAATGAAAAATTATTTCTACTATTGAGCTCCTTGTCATTCTAATGTTTTGCCATCCATTTTAAGAAAAACATTGCAAAGTATTTTTCTAATATTTCAGTTTTAGGAAGGAATTTTACATACAACTAGATGGCAAAAGCCTGTCTTCACAAATTTTTGTGAATATAACTTGATATTCATATGATATTTTCATAATTTACCTATTGTGCAGTGACCATTTAAAATAAATTTATTTTAAAAGTATTTCAGTTCTCTTTAACTGTAAAAGGTATTAATAGTTAATAATCTGACCTGAGTTTCCAATAAATGGCAGCCTGTTTTATGGTGCACCAGTTGGCCATAAAGGTGAATGGGCAGGTAGACATGTGATCCCTGTAATCTGGTAGAAAGAGAAGTTATACGATTTCATAGTAATCAAGAAATTTTCTTTTAAAATACATTACATTATGGTGCATTTACTCTGAGTTTTAAGAGACAGAAAAATCTTTTGGGGAGTATTTACCTTTGGTTGCTCCGACGAACATAATTGTCACCATCAACAGGTTTGCGATATGTGGTAAGTGCTTCATTAAGTTGTTCTTCAATTAGCTCAACATACTTTAAATTATATTCCTAAAAGATGACAGACAGATTGATACAACACAGTTAAATAGCTCATGGTTTTATAGTATGGTACTTTACAAGGAAAGAATAAAATAAAGGGCTCCTTTATGAAAGCTGAGTTTTTTAATGCTCTGAAGTCAGACTCACCATAATTACTGCACTTCATAAAGACAATGATATTTTTCCACAGATTCTACAACTGATTCTATAATTAGTTCAGGATATTTGTCAAAGAGGGAGGATGGGGATAAGGGAAACATCTCTCTCCTTTTTCTTACTTGAATAATCTCAATAGAATATCATGCATTTCACTTGCATTCCTACATGTATTTCACATGTATTCCTACATAAGTGATAGCTTATGTATAACTTTTTCCCAT